GTGAACCCCAGCGGTCCCTTCATAATGAAAAAAAATCTGTAATTTTTCAACCTACAAAGGCCCCCGGCAAACATCTTATGGGATTTTTGTGCGGTGCCTGGTCAAATTTAATGAAATTTTGGTATATGTTTCAAATTCAAAATATGCTGTATTATCCAAGACAAAAATATCTGTGACAGTGTGTCCAAGATAAGGATGGGATAGCATTAGGATCTGGAAAATGGTTGGGCATTAGGATCTGGAAAATGGTTGGAGCTACAATATTGGTTATATGAGGAAAAAGTTGCGCAATTTAATGCTCAATAAAATGGTACTTTAAAATTTGAAAAATTGCAAACCGAGGGGTCAACCACTCTGTAAAAATTTGTACACATATTGCGAAAATGTCGGTATTTCGCAAGTATTTCGCGAAATTCAAAGTATTCCGGTGATGGTAATTCCGACCTATTTTTTTGTGGTATTGCTGAGTACTCCCGAGTATTTTAAGGTAATTTGAAGTATTTCGAGGTAATTCGAAGAATTTGAAGTATTTCGCGGTAAGCCGAGTTATTTCGAGCTATTTAAAAGTAGTTTTTTTTTGTTATGTACCGAAAACGATTAATTATTTATCACTTAAAATTGGAATATAGAATAAAAATAATTATAGTCCATCTTCGAACAGGCAAGTATATACCTGATATGTATTAGTAATCAATGTCAGTTAGTTAATAGTACAGGGTTATCCAACGATGACTGAACAGAGGATTATTTTTGACTTTCCCTGTATTTTTGGGAAAATTCAAAATAGCCAATTGGGAAATCTTTTCTCTGGAGAACTCAAAAATGGTACCAAAATTTCTTTGAACCAAAAACCAAAGAGTTATTAAGTTTACGCCATGGATGAGCTGTTTTTTAAATGGAACAACCTGTTTTTCGTATGATTTTTGGAGAAGTCACATTTTTTTACATCTATTCTGTTGAAAATATTTGATATTCCGATAGCTTTTTTTTTAAGATAGATATATAGATAGATATACAGGGTGTCCCACGGTGGATGGCGTATTAGACGTTTATGGAGAACTAAAAAGCGGATCACTTTGAAAATTTGGCAACTGGGATAAACGACCATGATCTACACTTTAAAAATATTTTTGTTTATGCGGTGTTGCTGCTTCTACTCTAAACCAATGGCAACATCGTTATTTTAAATGGAACACCCTGTATGTGATTGCATATTTGGATTTTACGTAAAATTCTGAGCAGATTTCATGTGATATACCCTATACCTAAGTTCAACTGTTTTGGAAATATTGACAGTTGAAAATTGACTTTTTGCAACTTTGACAGGCTGTAAAACCTAAACGTTTAATTTTTGAGAAAAACCGATTTTACATTCCTGTCTTAGATTTTCATAAACTATCATTTGACACCAACTTTGAATTTAACCGGAGATTAAATTTAATTGGAATTTTTAATATGGATTAAATTCACAGTTGGTGTCAAATGATAGTTCATAAAAATCTAAGACAGGAATGTGAAATCGGTTTTTCTCTAAAATTAACCGTTCAGGTTTTACAGCCTGTCAAAGTTGCAAAAAGTCAATTTTCAACTGTCAATATTTCCAAAACAGTTGAACTTAGGTAAAGGGTATATCACATGAAATCTGCTCAGAATTTTACGTAAAAACCAAATATGCAATCACATACAGTGTGTTCCATTTAAAATAGCGATGTTGCCATTGGTTTAGAGTAGAAGCAGCAACACCGCATAAACAAAAATATTTTTAAAGTGTAGATCATGGTCGTTTATCCGGGTTCCCAAATTTTCAAAATGATCCGCTTTTTAGTTCTCCATAAACGTCTAATACACCATCCACCGTGGGAGACCCTGTATACAGGGTGTCCCAGGGAAAACAGTCCACCCTGATTTATTGGATTTGGGATGAGAATCTGGGAAAATGCTCGGACACGTCAATGTTTGATTTGAGGGGGAACTATTTTTCAGTTTTTTTCATCCCCGTAGCTTCAACCCCCTAGCTAGGGGGAGAACAACCCTCCAAATTTGAATAAGGAATAGGGGTCGTGTCAGACTTCTTTTTAAAGGTCTCATCGAGTTCTTTATGGCCCTAGAATTTCGTCTTATTACTGTCATCCGTAACGGAATGACAGCGTGTCAAAATCTTGAAAATAGACTATTGTTTTAGTGGGAGAAAAAAGCGATACTTACCTCCCTTAATAAAAATACTTGAAAATGAAGTTTTTTATAACTATTATCAATTAGGTGTACACGGAAATTGTAAATTGTAAGTATTTTTATCAAGGGAGGTAAGTACCGCTTTTACTCCTACTAAAACAATGGTCTACTTCCAAGATTTTGACAAGCTGTCATTTCGTTACGGATGAAAATAATGAGTCGAAATTCTAGGATCATAAAGAACTCGATGAGACCTTTCAAAAGAGGTATTACACGACCCCTATCCCCTATTCAAATTTGAGGGGTTGTTCTCCCCCTAGCTAGGGGGTTGAAGCTACGGGGATGACAAAAACTGAAAAATATTTCCCCCTCAAATCAAAAATCGACGTGTCCGACCGTTTTTCCATATTTCCATTTGAAATAGAAAAAATCGGGGTGGACTGTTTTCCCTGGGACACCCTGTATATCCTGTTCACAATCCGATGTCCACAGGTGCAGGTAAATTTATCACCTTTCCCTATCAAATAGCATTGAAAGGTGATAAATTTTACCTGTACCTGTGGACATCGGATTGTGAACGGATAATAGATAGATTTTATTTTAATATTTTATTCTTATTAATTTTTGCTTTGCCTGTTTAATACATGGCAACAAAATACAAAGATTACACCTCTATCACTTATGAACCAAGCATAAAACATTAAAATAAAAACAGCAATCGGAATATCAAATATGTATGTTCAACAATAGATGTGAAAAATGAGACTTCTCCAAAAATCAGTTCATCCATATCAACGAGAATTTTTTTAGAAGTATTGCGGGACTTCGAGCGGTAATTCGAGGGTATTTCGCGTACTTCGACGGTCATTCCATGGGATTTCGCGTACTTCGCCGGGAATACCTGGTATTTCGAAGGACTTCATGGTATTTCTAGGTAAGTACTTCGAAGTATTTCGAAGGTAATTCGGGCCAAGTGTACACGTATTTCGGCAAGTGGTTGACCCCTCGTTCCAAACACTTTCGGAGATATCCGGAAAAAACGAAATTTTGCAAATTTGATTTTATTTTTTTTCTGAGCTTATTTGAGCAGATTTTTCAAAATAAATGTTACTTCATCGTAACAACTACTCTACAAGATGACATTTTCAAATTTAAAATCTTACGTTTTGTCTTTAGGCCACCATCATCAACTTCATTTTTTTAAATACAGCCCTTGTTTTTCTATTTCAGATTTTGAGAGCTTCTGATGTCACAAAACTTATGACGGTTAATTTAAGAGGAAAACTGATCTTACATTCTTATCTTTGATTTTCATAAACTATCCTCGAAACTATCATTTGACATTAAATCCATGATCAAAAATTCCAGTTAAAAATTTAATCTGCGGTTAAATTCAAAGTTGGTGTCAAATGATAGTTTATGAAAATCGAGATGAAAATCTAAGACATGAATGTAAGATCGGGTTTCCTCAAAAATTAACCATTTAGGTTTTACAGCCTGTCAAAGTTGCAAAAATGTCAATTTTCAACTGTCAATATTTCCAAAACAGTTGAACTTAAGGATTGAAATTTAGTATCTAAATGTATGGAATTAAAAACCCTCCAAAATGATGTATCACTCTCAGTATCACTTGACCTCCCTTTCCATTTAGGATTTTCTAGGGGGTGGCTCTGGGGGCTGGGAGGTAAATTTTGCATAAAAACTCATCCCCCCTCAAATTATAGTTGATGTGTTTCAGGAATTTTCTCGAGAATTTCATACATCTGTCAAAACTGGTATTCCAACAATAAATTGACATGTTTTGATTGTTGATTTGAACCAATCAGATTGTAATTATGCGATAAGTGCAAATTATGAGATAATTGCATACTAACTGGTGCGAAAACTGGTGTTTTGACAAAAAATCTAAATTTTTGATTTATGAAATTCTCTCATTAAATACAACTCGTGCAATGGAAATATCGAGGGAAATATATTTATAATTTTCGACAAATTTGCACTCATGCGTTTTTAACTGAAAAAGGCACTCGTGCACGTAACGTGCACTCGTGCTCTTTTTCAACTAAAAATGCATTCGAGCAAATTTCCCAAAAATTATCAATAATTTCCATTGCACTAGTTATATTATATTACTATTGAAATTTTTTCAATTCTGAGATTATAGGGGTGGTAAGTTTTAGAATGAGCACCCTGTATTTTTTTGTTTCCGTTTTAGGTCTTTGTATTTTTTTTCAATCTGAATGGCATCAGATCTTCTTATGGAAAATGGGTTGGATCCAATTATCTTGAGTGGACCATAAAAAATGAACATTTTATCAACATTTTGAAGGTCATCTTTTTGTGGCCATTTATATTCATTTGTATCCGGAAATATTAGAACTTAGTTCAATAATACACTCTATATACCACATATTGTCATAGTATACAACATAATATGACTCCAGCTCTATTGATATATTAATTTCACTCGCAGAATCGCTGAGGGTGTCGCATTTATTTTGAAAATCCGAGAAAGTTTCACTTAGAGTTTCACTAGTTAAGCTGATATCATCGATATCTCCATCGGATTCTGATGAGCTCTCTGGTTCAGCTCGTTAAGAAATTCTCGAGGAAATTCTCTTCTTCTTTTTGCCTTTTTTTGTATTATCTCAAAATGTTTTTGGTCAGCTGTATTTTTGATGTTCATTCCTCTTACTCTTAAAATTCTGTCGGAAGGCAACCATCCTTGTTTATCAGAAAAAAAACAGCATAACGTGGATCTCGACGTGGATTTTTTCACTGTAATGTGTTTTCCATTATCAAAGTTTACCTGTTATTTAGCAAAAGTGTTAGACATGTTTTGTCTTGAGATTTTGAGCCTGTACAGTAACAGTCCTTAAAATTTTACGTCTCACAATTAAATTTAACGTCTCATAATTAAATTCCTGGACTGACATCTCCTTCTCGATTAGTATTTTGTCTGAAATATCCAAGGAAATATCAGCATCATATTTCAAGCTATCTGGATTTTCATAAACAATTGTAATTTCTTCACCCTCTGTATCTTTCTCTGAGTCTTCTTCATCAATCATTAAATTTTTTGTTGCATTCTCAGTACTATTTACAATAGGCATTTTTTCAAAACATACATCCGTCTCCACCGAGGTCTCCACTAACATGTTTGAACTGTTTGCAGCATTTCTAGCATCGTTTTTTGATTTCTCAAGAATGAATTTTATTTCCTCCTCAGAGGGAAATTCAACAGGTACTGCACTTGAGACGCCTAGTTTCCCATGTCCTACCCTGGGAAAAGTGAACTTCATACCTAAAAGTTCCAGAAACATCAGCTAAAAAAAGTAATGCAGAGAGAGATACTTTTTATAACATACCTAAATCAGCACTGATTTCCTGTAAGGCTTGTATTCTTTTGAGTCTTCGTAGCATTTCCAACAACGAAAAGTTCACTATAGTGGAGAATTTGCTAGACATGGCTCTAGCTTGTCGGAAGAATTTCTCACAAGGCTGACTATTGTACCAACCATGGAAGAAATAGATCTGGATTGTCTGTTGATCTTAGTTTATGGATCATTACAAGGAGTGCGTGAGCGTTTAATTCGATGCATGTATATGCGTTGATAGTTAAAAAATTACTTTGCAAACGCATTTTATTTGCAGTTAGCCAATATCTCCGAAAGCGGCAAAAAAATGTGACATACCACACTAAGTATACACGCCTTTCCAAGGTTATGTCTTTAGCTAAAAACGAATTGAGGATGCAGCGTGTTAGGAGCAGATACTGTAAAGTTGCCTCAGCATCAGGAATCTTTCTTAGTTGGATAACATTATCAGATGCCATTTTGTTGATTGCCTCAAAATTCATTTTATCAGTACCTAAAATTGGTAAATCTAGAATATTATTTTTGCAATTAAAACCATCTTACCCTGGAGATGGCTTGCACATAACATGTGCTTATCTTTACTAAAGGTTTCAATTAATGTTTTAAGGTGGTTCGCAGAAACCTCGGCAGAAACCTTTTTGTCTCCCATTTGTAACGAAATTTTCTCGTTGAGCATCCTAGTTTTAAGTTTAGTGGAAATATGTACAGTATCCTGAACTTTTGTTGGCAAGTTAGGATCAAATTTCATCTATAAATAACTTAAATAAATAGCAAGAGCAACCATTTTCTTAAATACATACCTGAAATTGAAATTATTTTATTTTAAAATAAGGTTCATATGGATTTTTATGAACCGATGGAAAATCTGTTAATATTTTCATGGATTTTAGACATCTTGAATCTCCATCACTTGAGAAACCTAAAATTTGTATGGCATGCTTTTTAGCTTCTTCTAGATAGCTCCATCTTCTAGATACATCCTCCGTTGTAAACCGATTATCACTTCCCAAATTGACATACAGAAACCTGCAGCTCAATCTGCTAGGGGCTGAGCGACATAGACATAGGCGTTAATCGCTATAGCCTCATTTTCAAATGCATCTCGAATATTTGATATTGAATTTACGATAAACTGTTCTGTTACTGGAAACCCATTATTTGGGTTTAGACGTGCAGCAAAACCGATCATTGTATTACTAGATGGATCATATTGAACGCGTTTTACTAGCACTGTCTGATCCTCTGAGATAAATATTGCGATAGGATAATTTCGTTTTTTGAGATACGACTTCTGTTCATCAAATATTACAACTCCTTCCTTTATATATCCACTTTCTTCTAACTCTCTATTAAAGTAGACACAGCCGGAACGATATTTTTTAAATTAGAACATAGAATTTCATAGGATATCCTTCCTGCCGTAATAAAAATGTATAGACAAAAACGTTTCATTTCGAAGTTAAACTGATTTGAATGTGAAGATTTATTTGATCAGTTCCATTTTGCGGAATCTATATAGAAGATGCTTTAGAAGACCCATTAAGTTTATTTTTATTTATTGCGGTATTTTGCACGAGCGATGATATTGTTTTTGATGCTTCATGATTACTTTCTATGGCATGTGTCACTATTTCGAGGAATTCTGTAATTTTTTTCTGATTATGAGGAAATTCTTGAAATCTGCGTTTATTCCGTTCATACCAAGAATTTCGCGATTGTGTGACTCGTTGGCGCAACGTTTTAGTAGCAGAGCTGTTTGTCTCCCGAGCAGCTCTACATTTCACAAGAAAACGACCAACTCCAGAAAAATCGAGTTCTTTTGAGGGTTCTTGGGTGATAATTTCTTGATTATGGCTCGGATTATGGTCGATTGGAAGCGATATAACCTCCTCGGCTATCTCTTCACAGTGTTTCAACTCCGTGGCCGGTTTTGAGGACGGGTTTGAGGCAGAATCCGGGACAAAATCTTCAACCAGTGATATACTATTATTATCTTGATTATCATTCGTTGTATCTTCAGCTTGATATTCAGTTATATCCTCGTTTATATCATGAAGATATTATTTCAGAATTAGAATAAGATGATAAGGCTTGGGACTCGGCTTGGGAAGTGCTCTCGGATGTAGCAGAAAGTGCAATAACGGATTTTGAAGGTATAGTCCAGTGGTTCCCAACCTTTTTTTAGTCACGACCCTTTTACAGATTTGTTTATAAGGTCGCGACCCCCCTACCCATTAATAAAAAAAAAACATTTATCCGAGAAATCTTTAACAAAAATATTAATATTTCGTAACTAAATGCAAAAAGTCAATTTTTATTTTGTTAATGTGATGACTGAGCTTGCATCACCTTAACAAGTTTTGAAATTCTTGGTTGAGTTTCTGTTAAAACCAATGTTATGTCATCTTGAACGCCCAATCTACTTCTGGCCTTTGCTCTAATTTGCAAAAGAGTTGAAAAATCAATTTCACGAAGGTAGGTAGAGGCGAATGGTACTATTAGTATCCAAAAAGAAAGCACATGCAGGGCGATATAAGGATATGAACTATGCATCGCACACTAAATTTCAGTCAAGAATTTTTCCTGAAATAGGCAGGTGCTGTGGAATCATTCCTCAGCTCTAAAAATGTATCCAGCACTTCATCAGGAACGTCGGCAACATCTAACGAGGCTTGGAACGGGTTCCTTACTACTGCAGCTTTTTGTTCAGATCAAGAAAATAACGTCCATTTCATTCTCAAGGGATTGAAGGTGATAACCAATTTTCTTTTTTTGGATTCTCTACAATTTCTGTTTCTTATGCTTCAGCCATTTTGCATTGATGTTGAAAAACATGTGACTCACAACCTGTGCTATGCACTTCGTCCATAAGGTCAATGCAACGCTGCCTGTCGAGGCGGAGGCTAAGGCGTGTTGCCAAATGCAGAAAAATATATATTGATATTGGCCTTGCGACCCCTCCAAAAACCCTATGCGACCCCCTTAGGGCTGGTATAGTCTGTTCCGAATGTCTGTTCACTATTCGTAACATTATGATAATTATTCTCGTTATTTCGACCAAAGTTTGACCAATTGATTGCACAGTCAAATTTTAGCATACTTTTTTTAGTTGAAGACTTTTTTGATAAATCCACTTTCCCTTTGTTATTTTCCTTAAAGTGGTTGCGAAAATGTTTCAAAAAGTTTGAAATATTCCACTTTCGACCACTTTTTGAATTTTGAACAGAGTATCCGGAAGATTTGAAGTTACACATCATAATGCATTGAATTTTTGCTGAATATATGTCAGTAAGAGTGACTTCCATATCCTGTAATTTAAACATAATATCAGTAACTTGCATCTTGACTTAGACTTTTCTCAAAAAAATTTATGCGGGGAAATTGAATATAATTATAAATCAAAAGTTTGATATGCTCAATGGCTCGGGCTCGGTCGACTGACTTTGATTCTGCCATTAAATCTTCATCTGGAGGGCGAGAGAGCGTAGAACATTCACCACAAAGATTGTCACTCTTTAGAGCGAACCGCTGAAGCATTCACCTGTCTCTTATTTTCAGAAATTTCTTCATCTATGGGCCTTTTTAATGCATTAACCTTCCTTGCCGATTCCTTTTTCAGAAAGTGCATTATTTTTTTATGGCTTTCCGGAATTGTGAACAAATTAGGAGATCAAAACAACCTTAACTTTTCTATCCTCGGCTTCTGGTGAGCTATAGTTTGACAGATTCGATTTTATCCAAAGTTTACAATCTTTTGATGTTACCCCCATAACAAAGTTTAATACCCTTTTAATTGAAAATGTTTTTGAATTCTCCTTGTTATATAACAAAAAAAATAATTTATATATTTTGTGTATATACAGGCCCCCTATTATTCAAACTTAAAGCAATACTTTGAAAATCTTGAAATTATTTTATCAAAACTGCCACCCAAGGCAGGTTTGATACTAGGGGGAGACCTTAATATAAATTTTGATGATGACAGATCAGAGGCACAGCAAATTCTGTCTAACTTGTTTTTATCATTTGACCTAGAGATGTATGTTAACGAACCTACTAGAATAACTGTTCATTCCCAAACCAAAATCGATTATCTGTGTTCAAATTTTGTCTTAAAGCAAATGTTTGTTAGCTGTAGTGTAATTGCTGTAGGCATTTCGGATCACGAGGCAGTTTTAGCAAAATTTCAACTTGCGATAAATAAACCACCAAAATATAAAGTTGGTAGACTACTTAGCAGCAACAATTATAAAAAATTTAAAGATATTTGCAAGGAATTAAATTGGCCAGCAGTTTTGAATTGTCAATCACCACTAAACGAATACCAAAAATTAGTAACTGATGCATTTTTAAAATCTTTTCCATTACAAAAAATTAAGCAAAAGAAAAGTAAACTTTGGATTACTCCCGCTATTAAAGTTTCATCAAAAAACATGCGTTCGTTACAAAATATTCGCAAATTTACTGATTGTCCTCAGTTCATAAGTTATTTCTGCAGATATAGAAAAATTTACAAAAGTGTCTTAAAAGCAGCTAAGGAAAAGTTTTATCAGAATAGAATAAACTCCTCCAAAAATGTCAGCAAAGAAAACTGGAAAATAATTAATCAGTTAACTGGTAAAAACTCAGTTCTTCAAACAGATGTTAAATTAGATCCCAATATTCTCAACAACTTCTACTGTAGTGTTGCTGATACTTTACAACAAAACTTGAAAAGTAATGTGGATCCTGGTTCTTATTTATTGGATGTTAAAATAAATGACACATTTGTACTGGAAACTACAAACGTATTAGAACTTAATGAAATCTTTAGAGGAATAAAAAACAATAAATCCAGTGGGCACGATAATGTTTCAATAAATTTGCTTAGAAACTTGCCTGATAATGCATTATATGTCTTGTCTGAATGTATTAATATTTCATTTTTAACAGGAGTATTTCCAGACTGCCTGAAAAAAGCTATTGTGTTGCCTCTTTATAAGGGTGGCGAATTGGACAACCCATGTAATTATCGACCAATATCACTTCTCTCGACGTTGTCAAAAATAGTTGAAAAGTTAGTTAAAGAAAGAATGTTAAAATATTTTTCAAAACACAACATAATAAGTGACACTCAATTTGGATTCCAACCATTAAAGGGCACCCATGATGCAATGTTTAATCTTTTGGAACAGGTATTCGTCAGTCTTAATGAAAGTGAGCTTGTCGCCGTTGTGTTTTGTGATTTCTCTAAAGCCTTTGATTGCGTGAATCATAAAATAAGTAATGCTTAAAAAACTAGAAATTTATGGCTTCGGAGGAATCTCATACTCATGGTTTGAATCTTATTTCTCGGGAAGAGAACAATTTGTTAAGATTGGTGATACTCAGTCATCAAACTTGGCTGTGACCAATGGTGTTCCACAAGGATCTGTGTTGGGACCAATATTGTTTTTACTTTATTTAAATGATATTAATCACCTCCCCATTAGAGCTAAAATAACATCATTCGCTGATGACATTACTCTGTCCTGGAACGGAAAAAATATTGAAGAGTTGAAAAAGATTATTTCTGAAGACCTAAATCTTGTAAAGAGCTGGTGTGACTCTAACTTGCTTTGTTTTAACTCTAAGAAAACCAACATATTGACATTTACATTTTTTTTTGATGATTTATTATTAGACACACACACAATTGAAAATAAAACTAGCTGTAAATTTCTTGGTATTCATGTTGATACTCAACTTAAGTTTAATGAGCACGTTACAAATCTAAACAAACGATTGGCAAGTGGTTGCTATGCTGTAAGAATAGCGTCAAATGAACTTGGTTTGAATACTGCTAAGTTGGTTTATTTCTCGTTGGTTGAATCTCATATAATAATAATAATAATCTTTATTCAGGTTTAAATATTTTTTACAATACATTTTTTTTTTCTTTCACAATGCATGTATTTTGTATTTAAAAATTATTTTGTTGGCACCTAGAGGTTTAATACCTCTGTATGCACCAAGTAAATTCTTAACTATTTATAATATAGTAATAAACACAACCTGTTCTTACAATAAAGGTTTATCTTAGAGGACATTATATTTTGTATGGGTTTGTTAAAGTACAATATTATTTGTTTATGGCAACTTAATCCTATTTTTTTTTTTATCCTATGACATAAGTTTAGAAAATGATTCATAATTATCTACAATAAATACTTTGCTCTTCTCACTAAACATTTTTATCCTACCTATTTCTTTGATTTTCTTTGGTATCATATTATAAAATTTTGGCGCTAAGTAATTAGCAAATTTTAAATTTATTGTTTTTCTATTTTGAGGTATTATTAGGTGTCTATTAACATTAGCTCTGGTTTGATGATGATGGTGTACGAATTTTTTTAGGGTTTCTTTTCTATGTATATATGTACAAATGGAGTGTATGTATAAGCAGTTTATGTTGCAAATGTTGTTGTCATATAGTGATTTAGTTGAGTAGCGCCTTTCTTTTCTGAACATTATTTTTAAGATGGAATTTTGTATTACATTTAGAGGTTGCAAGTTACTTTTATATGTTCCCCCCCACACAATAAGGCCATATCGCAACAATGATTCTACCAGAGATTTGTACACCAATATGATCATTCTAGTACTGAGAAATTCTCTTAGAATATAAAATTTATGAATCAAGAAGCGACATTTCTTTGTTAGGTAAGATATATGGTCTACCCATTTTAAATGCTGATCAACAACTATACCTAAATATTTAGCTTTCTTCACTGCTGATATATGACTGTTCTTCTCCTTGCTTGTCTGAATTTCAATAAAATTAGGTCTATTTGCGCCTGTCACAGAAAAGGCTATGTAATTAGTTTTGGATAAATTGAGCGACAATTTGAATGAGTCAAGCCACTTTTTGACGATGCCAAAACCCCTCGACACTCTCTCTTTTGTCTCCTCCCATGTCTTACCAGTAAAGATAATAACCGTATCGTCAGCATAGGATATTAACTTACCATTTATGTTCAATTTTAGTAAGTCATTGATGTAGGTAATGAAAACAATGGGTCCTAAGATGGTGCCTTGTGGGATACCAATTTTTATTTTCAAGGGGTGACTCAGTGTTTGATTTAGCTTCAGAAATTGATCTCTTTCGGAGAGATAGTTTTTAAACAGTTCCAATACCATGCCTCGAACACCATAATGTGATAAAACATCAAGGAGTTTTTGATGAGGCACGGTATCAAACGCCTTCGCAAGGTCCATGAACACCGCTATGACCTTTTTACTCTCATCGAGATTGCTTGTTATTTCTGAGACCAGGGAATACATAGCATCTGCCGTACTTAGTCCCTCCGAAAAACCATACTGATTTGGGGACAGTACATTATTGCAATTAAAAAATGTTACAAGTCTGTCTTTTAAGCACTTTTCGAAAAGTTTTGCAAAATTATTTATCAAACTAATGGGGCGATAATTTTGAATTTTATTTTTTTCTCCATTTTTGTAGACTGGGGTAATCACTGATTCCTTAAAATGACTAGGTATAATACTTGTTTCAAAAATTAAATTAATAATGTACACTAGGGGCTTGATTATTTCCATATGTACATGTTTAATAATCCTTGTGGAAATTCCATCCTTTCCTGGAGCACTATCGTTTTTTAGTGTAGATATTTGTTTTATAAGTTCTCTTTCTGTAACTGGTCTTAAATATAAAGAGGTTTGAAGGCTTTCTTTTATAGTGGTAGGGTATTGCGGGTTGTTTATTTTTTTTTCCATTTCCACACCAATGTTATTGAAATATGTATTGCAAAAATTTGCCATTTCGAGTGTGTTTGAAAAGCTGTGATTATTTTCATCAACAAACATATGATTGGAAGACTTCACTTTCCTTTTTTCGTTTGTTGCATCCGCTATGATCTTATATATATTTTTAATATTGTTTTTATTAATTTCAATTTGATTCTTATAAAAATGAAATTTTTGTTTCTTAATTAAGTTGTTTAGTTTGTTTCTGTATATTTTATAAATCGTGTTTTGTTCCTCGGTAAAATTTTTTTTTAGTTTATTCTTTAATTTATCTCTATGTTTTATGGATGTAATCAGACCGGTTGTAAACCATTCTTTAATTTTTCTTTGATTTGGGATTATAGGGCGTTTTGAAGTGGAATTTTGCATGGATTTCTTGAATATGTTTAAAAAAGAATTTGTGGCTTTTTCAGGGTCTTTCGTTCCCATGATTTCTGCTGACCAATCCTGTATTGCCAATTGTTGTTTTAAGAGGTTATAGTTTATATGGTTATAGTAGTTTAATGGTTCATTAGATTTATTAAGAGTATCAGCATCAGCATAGTTATTATAATTAACATTCAGCATGATTGGATAGTGGTCTGTTATATCAGTATTCAATATAAATGATTTGAATTTTAAATTGCTTATTTTTAGTTTTTTTCTAACAAATAAATGGTCAATACATGTAGATGTTTCATGAGTAACCCTGGTTGGAGAGTTTATATAGGATACAAAACCACTTTGTCCCATTTTTGAAAGGTATTCATTTACTATCGGGTTTTGTATATTCTCTATATTAATATTCAAATCTCCAGTGAAAATTTCGATTTTTTTGGTTAAAGAATGCTCAAAAAATTCTGTTAGATCATTAAGAAATATAGGTTCAGCTATCGGAGGCGGTTTATATGCTGCAGTTATCCCAAAGGATAAACCGCAGTGCTCAAAAGTTATTCTACTAATGGTTGCCTGTGATAAATTTAGCTTTACATGATTCACATCAATATTTAGCGTTTCTCTGACAAAAATTAGTAAACCATCATTTTTATTAAAATCCCCATTGTTATAAAAGGTATTATATCCAGGTATACTATACATATCACAAGACAAAATTTGAAAACATTCACCCAAAATAAATATATCACAAAAGTACAGTTGATAGGATTCTATAAATAAAAGTAATTCATCAAAATTTTTTTTTGCGCTTCTGATATTCAAATGTAGTATATTTATGACCTTGTTTTTTAGTGAAATTTGTTTTTTTAATAATACCTCATTTACAAGAGTCCCCTGTTCCTCCATACCCATTTCATCCAATTGCTCCAATATTTCCTCTTGTGGCGGTCTGAACATTATAAATTATATTCTATTTTATTCTTGAGCATTTCCAAATGATAATTGTAGCTTGGGCAATTAGGGTCTGAAGCCACATGTGACACGCAATACGACAGTTTGTATTTTTTGTTTGCTTCCATACAGTTATTGCACTTTTTTATTGCTTTTTCACATATTTCCATTTCATGATTTCCTGCACAATATTCACATACCTTGTTTTTGTTGCATTTGTTATTTTTATGGTAGAATTCCTGGCAATTGAAACACCTTGTTACACTCAAATCCTCGTATATAGGACAGCGCTGCCAACCAATATGTATCTTTTTATATTTCATACATTTTTGATACATCTCTCCGGAACACTCCGCAAAAATAGTTGAATCCATGTTCCTCTTTTTCACGAATGTAACCTTTATTTCATCTGTGTCGTTAATCCATTCATTTTGATTTCTTATAATCTGCTCAATTTGTTGTTTAGGTTCATTGCCTTCATATCCGGGAATTTTAATTTTTGGTCTCATCATTGTTGTTGTAATTATTTCGTATTTATTTTGTAATACGCTTTCAGCTGCCCTTTTCAAATCCTCAACTTCCTGTTTGGTGGGGCATTTAATGACAATGTTTCCATTTCCTGTCGCTCTCATACCTCTTATGCCAATGTTCAACTCGGAAGGATTAATCTTCTTGGTAATATCTTCTTTTGTCTTTGTTACATCTTGGATTTGTTTCGGACGAATAATCAGATTTGGGATATTGAGCCTGTCTTTTGCTGGCGGCCTGCTTGTTACTCCCGCATACGACTTTTCAGCATAATCATAAGTATTTTTATTTTCATTTGTTTTTTTCAATTCTTCAATTTGTGTTTTTAGCATGCTTATAATTTCAACTTTGTCATCAATATTTGCATTTTTGCTGTCTATGACATCTTGTAAAAGTTTACATGTTTCAAGGTTTATGCATCTTGGGCAGTTAAATCTCATTACCCTTTTGCCACGTAATTCCATAACTTTAACTTCCGATGCGGACAGGCCACCACATGACTTGCATATAGGATTCCTACAGCCATCACAGTTAAAGACTTCTTTTGATTTAGTCTCTTCGCATATTACGCACTCCATTTTAGGCTAAAATGGTTGTTTATAACTTTCTTTAAAGAGCGCGCACTGTTTTCTTCATAGTTTAATTTTTGAAGGTGTAAACCGGCAACACTGCACGTTATTTCTAGTACCACGCCGTAGCTATTTTCACTATTTTCGGAATAACTCGATCGTTACAGACGTAATTTTCACTTCCGTCCTTAAACCTTCCGATAATGAGATGATAGATATCAACAAAATTAATTTTGGTTGCGTTTATACATCAAAAAAACTGAAAATGTTTCAACAATGTAAACAAAACTACTGGCGCTGTTGCCAGCACCATATATGTTGCATATCAGGTATGGCATTGCATTTTGGGGTAACTGTTATAATAAATTGTTTGATTCTGTTTTTGTCATTCAAAAGCAGTGCGCTATTTGTGTGGGGTTGGATATTGGGAGCATTGCAAGCCACTATTTTTAAAACATAAAATACTTACAGTATGCTGTATATTTATCATGGAAACTGCTTGCCTTATGCAAAAAAACATTATGATGAGTTAGAATATCCAAGAACTTATCCAACTAGGCAACTTCTTAAAATTCAGCTTCCTATACCCAAGACTGCATTGACGCAAAATTCACTAATTTATAAAAGTAGGCAAATTTTTAATCATCTGCCTGTTAACTTAAGGCAGATAGGTGGTTTTAAAAAGTTTAGACTAGAGCTCAAAACATTTTTATTTTCTACTTTACTATTATAGATCCATAATACCTAGGAAACGAAATACGTTAACACACCTATAACAACCTGATCCATAACGCCCGCTTTTGCGGGCGTTATGATCTATAACGCCCGCTTATAATACCTTAAGGTGTTTTTGTTGTTGTTGTTCTATTAATTTGCACTTTACCCTAGGCAGCCACTAAATGTCTGACCGAAAATAATTTTCGGTCTAGCCAGGATTCGAACCCGGTCTACCATCAATGTTTCCCATGTAGTCCAGCGCGTTAACCTACAGGACCACCACCGTTGCCTTGCCTTATGAGATGTTTATAGATATATTAATGTATTTCGTTTCTATGTACAGGTCGCAGGTACAGGTACAGGTCGCAGGTACAGGTACATGTCAAAATACAAAACAATATTCTGTCACACAAGTTTAACTGATTTTGTTAATAACAAATTGATGAAAAAGCATTGTGTTGAGTAGAAAATAAAGCATTGTATGCACCACGGGGATTTCAAGATTATAATGCCCTTCAGGCGAAATATATCCCTCGGGCCATAGGCCCTCGGGCTAGTTTCGCCTTCGGGCATTATAATCTACATAATCCCCTCGGTACATAAATAGCTATTACATGGAAAAGCCTACTATCATATTAATGAATTTTTAAATGAAAAATTTTAATTTTGTTTGTTTCATTGTTTTGTTTTGTTCTGACCGCAACCTTTATGTTTTTTCTGTATTGGCTGTACCTTCTATATGACTCTATAGTTTGATGTAGTAAAAATTGTACATGTGTTGCTTAGGATTATGCTTTGACATTTATGTTTATGTTTATTTTTTATTTTATTGATTGTACCTCTTTTTTTTTATAACCCGATAATTTTTAATTACTTGCACATTATTTAAGATCATGCTTTGTCAATGAAATTTATTTTCCGACAATAAAGTATATTTTGATTGATTGATTGAGAGTTAGGGTGAAGAGTAAAAGGGTTCATAAAGAAAAAGAAAGATGCAGAAGTTCAAATCAAAGAGAAGGTATAGTCTTCTACTCGCATATAATGGCTATTATTCACTCGAATGATTCCAACACTCGCCTTCGGCTCGTGTTTGAAATTTCATTCTCGTGAATAATAGCCATCATTATATGCTCGTTGAAGAATATACTATTCTTGCATTATTTACTTATATAGATATTCCCGTGAATAAACCCAAACAGTACAACGAAAACTGCAATCAATAATAAATTGACCGATCCCAAAATTTTTAATGGGATTTTATTATCAAATTCATTAATTTGAATGAACTTTATTTCAGGTACAAGGATCCAAGTGAGCCGGATAAAATTACAGTGGATGGAATAATGAAATTTCTGGACGAATTGGGTCTGCCGCCGGAATCAAAGCTAGTCCTCATTATCGCATGGAAATTCAAAGCCGCCACGCAGTGTGAATTTTCTAGGGAAGAGTTTGTGAACGGAATGACCGAATTAGGTTGTGATGGTGTTGATAAATTAAAGCAAAGGTTATCCACTTTGGAAAACGAGCTAAGGGATAGTTATAAATTCAAAGACTTTTATCAATTTACTTTTAACTTTGCGAAAAATCCTAATCAAAAAGGATTAGATTTAGAAATGGCAATAGCATACTGGAATATAGTTCTAAAAGGAAAATTCAAATTTCTGGATCTTTGGTGTACATTTTTACAGGTGAGTGTTATCTATTTCTTTATACGCCTATGCAGTTACTCTTTTTCAATGACTCTCAGAAGAGCTAGTGAAATATCTCCTGGGCCTCTGTAACGAATAGCGTTCAATATCTCTACCCCCTCAGTATTGATTTTATTTAGATAGAGGAAGACATGACAATAAGACATGACGATTGCTATTTGTTACAGAGTAAGTCCCCAGGCAGTTTTAAAAAGAATTCTACGTTTTAATGTCGTGAAATTCGCTTTAGGAAAAGCAAATTGCAAGTCAATTATTAAACAAGCTATTATATGAGGATACATTAGCATTTATAAACCAAAACCTGCCTGCTAAAACGGTACAATATCTTTGGTAATATTTCGTACACGGAAGGAAATTTATGGATGCACAATCCAGATTTAGGAAAATTATGTTCTGTTTCATGTTTCCATATGCACCAATTTTAAAACCTGGGTGGGACCTTAGGTTGGGACTCCTAGAACATTTCATTTCTTCAATTAAAAATGTTGAAGAATATAAACGAAATACCTTTTCTATTTATTTTTCTGTTATTATTAGTGTTTTTGCATTGATAATTTTTTACAAAGTTTTAAGTGTCTTCTTTGAATGGCGTTCAACCTCAATGTGACTCAATCGAATTCATTTTTCAGGAAAACCACAAAAGGTCTATACCAAAAGATACGTGGAACCTCCTGCTGGATTTTGCACAACAAATTGCCGACGATATGAGCAATTACGATGAGGAAGGCGCCTGGCCCGTTCTAATTGACGATTTTGTAGAATGGGCATCGACAAAAGCGAAGGAAAACCAACCACACAGCACTAGCCAATTAGAATAACACAGTGAGATTGGCCTGGTTTGTGGTTTTTTGGACAATGCCGTTTCTATTTTTATTTAAAACCTAATTTGGCCAAATAACAGACTTTTGGGTTCACTGAATAATGTACATAGTTGAATAATTCTTACAAATAATAATTTGGAACTAACGCTACACTGTAGTTGTATGTGTCTAGGATTTGGCACTTGAGTTGATTATTTGATGGGAAGATTTCATTTGCATAAAATTGTAGGTATTCTTCATTTCACCAGAATTCCTGAAAAATACTTAGAAACACTTAGAGAGATTCTGAGTATTTTGATCAAGATCTGGAAATTTCTTGTACAATCCATCATTCTCGTATTTCTTTTTTAAGGTACTGTATATTGAAACTTTTTTGAAATATGTATTTGAGAAATGTATTTATTGAAATTTATTTGAGAGGTTAATATTATAGGCTCTTTGAATGTTGGTGGATGTGAACGTCCAGAGTAAAGCATAATTATTATTTCAAACAGTTTTCAGGTATATTTTCGTTATAAAATATGCAAAGATATAACTTTTTTATGGAGACTGCAAGTTGAAGACAAAGTCTATATATTTTTAGTTTGTGAAAAAATTCCAATTGTTGCACAACAAAATGTAAAAATTTGATTATTAAATAATTTGTTTTCTACCTATGCTACTTTTATTTTATAGCAAAACTAATTTGTTTTGTGGTAAGATGTAGAATGTGGGAAGCTTTGATTTCTGCAGTAAAATTTACATATTTTTCTTTTTTGTCTAAACATGTTTTTTTGCATCGTGTAACGTGAGGTTGAATTAGTTTCAAATAAAAATTATTAATTGGTCAACAGGAACTATCCAGTAAAAAAAAAAATTAAAAATAACCATCAAGCATTTTAAGGTAGATGAAGGCCTCAAAACTATAGAGATAAAGAGTATAAAGGGACTAGTGAGGCTACAAGTTATTTTCTAAAAAAAATGCAATATGAATGCAATTATGTTTTGAATACTTGTTACTTGTATAGACCATCATTTCTTTTCCATTTACGAAATTGCCATTTATTGCAGAGAACTCACAATAAATATGGGAAGAACCAGGCTGAGCGTTAAAGATCTTTGTCAGAATCTACTCATCTCCGATATAAAGATTACAAGTTTAATATGTTTTCTTCTTAAGGGGCCACAACACGTGGGGGATTGTAAGCGTTTCGTAAAAACCAAACTACAAAAAAACTACTCCAGATATCGAGATGAACTAATTAAATTTATATAAACGAAGGATTATACAACCAGCCTACAGAAGCGTTTTTTTTTATATACAGTGTGTCAACTTAAGTTCGCAGCACATGGGAAACTTTTTTATTATCAATTTTACGAAAAAAAGTTATTCTTTATTCAAGTTTCTGCTTCTTGAAAAAATAGTATTAAACTATACTCCTGGACAAAATTATCGCACCACCACTGCACATAAGCACCATAAGAAGTGGTGCGATAATTTTGTCAAGGAGTATATTAAAACTTAGAATAGCATGAATAGGGTGGTCAAAAAATAGAAAAATATACAGAATTTTTTGGTAAAAAACAGTAAAAGTAGAAAAAAAAATGGCACGTCACTATTTTTTAAAACTTTTGATATTTTTTTCAGATTCAGCAAGTCATATTACAGTCAGAAGATACCTTTCGTTATCACAAAGAGACCTGCAAAATTAAAAAAAAAAAAATGGAAAATGGATTTTTGAGCTAAAAAAACGATTTTTTTCTAAAACTTTGACACCCT